GTTGCTGTGACCCATATACATCTAAATTTATCCTCGTACATACGTGCTACAACTATACTACTAATGTTTTTGCAGCATGGCCACGTATAATGCAACAAATTTTGCGAAATTAACTCCTCAGTTATTGCTTGGTCAGGAAAACTCGCTTCATGATGATTTCACCAAAACATCGGTTTCGCCGATCCCTCCTATGTCAACAGAGATAGAAAAAATGTATGGCTTTTTAAGAGACTTCATGGCAATAAACAGTGTCGTAAAAACTACGGTACCTTATGAGAATATTTCTCCATTATATAGTGACGATTCCGTGAAGGTTCCTGATTATTTTGCTGATGACGACCTATCTAGTTCACGTGACGATCCCTCAAACGGTTCTGTATCTTTAATTCCTAGAATTACGCATGCTGAAATGAACCAAAATCCCAAAATAAATAATAAAAGGCGAAACCTGAAAGATAGAGAAACGTTTTATAATAGTTCTAATACTGACGCAAATATCAATAGAATTTCATATAAATCTGTCAATGTTAATTCAGTTGTTGATGAAAACATAGTTGCAACAGGATCCGAAACAGGCACAGATATGGAGACTAATGCTATGGCTGAAAATAGCGAAAAAGAAACAAGTAAACGAAATAACAGAAGAAAAAGACATTCCAGGGAAGAAAGACAAAAACGAAAATTTTATTCTTTATGGTTTTACATACATACATACATACATATAATCACGCCTCTTTCCCGTAGGGGTAGGCAGAGACCAGTTCTTTCCACTTGCTACGATCCTTACATACTTGTTTTGCTTCGTCCACTTTCATTATTCCCTTCATACATGCTCTACGGTTTAGGGTACTCTTGACCTGGCCTTTTTTCAAGACGTCCCTGATTTGGTCTAGAAATGTCCGCCTAGGTCTACCCCTTCCAACACTTTCATTCACACTCGCCTTATACACTTTTTTCGTCAATCGTTCTTCATTCATTCTCTCGACATGGCCAAACCATCTCAGCATACCTTTCTCAATTTTTGTCACTACATCTTCTTTCAGACCACAACGTTTCCTTACCTCACTATTTCTTAGCCTGTCACTCAGTTTAACTCCTATCATACTTCTTAATGCTCTCATCTCAACTGCATTTATTCTGCTTTCATGTTTCTTCTGCCATACCCAACTTTCACTTCCGTACATGAGTGTCGGAACCAACACCCCCTCATGCACAGCCAAACGAGCCTTGTTAGACACCTTCCGACTGCTCATAAAGGAGTGCAAAGCTCCATTCACCATGTTTCCTGCATTCACTCTTCTTTCGATATCACTCTCACACTTTCCATCTCTTGTAAACTTTGAACCCAGATACACAAACTCTTTCACCTGTTCAATTTGTTCATCTTCAATCACGATATTGCAGTATGGTTTTACAATGCTCAAAATATGTTCTTGGTAGTATTGGTTCGTGAAAAACCTGTCAAACGTCATTATGTTTCAACAAATAAAAAACAAATGTTAATAGAAAAAAAGACATACCTATTTTAGAGAGTACCCATTAGAACGTGTATCTGTTTGTATGGACATGTTAGTCAAGACGTGACAAACTTTGACGAAAAGAAACATCTCTTCGAAAAAAGCGTTCTGCAAACGAAATAACTGACATAAAAGGTAATAATGCTGGAAACAATAAATCCTCTCCTGAAATTGTACGAGTACAATTTGTGACTGATTTGATAAAAAAGTTGCCAGCTTACATTTCTCGTTATGGACATGAGAAATGCAAAGGCGCTAAGTACTTAAGACCAGATATGACATTATCCCAAATATACGATCTTTACTGCCAAGAAGCAGAAAAGTCAGGTATGAAGATACTTTCTTGTTCGAAAATTAACTGTATTTTCTTCACAAAAATTTAATATGTGTACTCCTTTGAAAAAAGATACCTGTAATAAGTGCGACTTATTTGAAAACAAAAATCTTTTTTGCGACCGAAGATAAAAATTGAAAATCGAAGAAAACCAAAAGGCGCACCATGGAAAAGTCGCTCTTCCACAAGAACAACTTAAAAGTGTCATGAAGCTTACCTCGCAAGACCCTATAGTAGAGACACTTTCCTTTGACCTCCAAAAGACATACGTATTGCATACCTACAATTTTTTACATATTTTTTTATAAATGACAACTTTGGGTGAATAACCTAGGCATTCTGGCAGTAAAAATGAATGTCTTTGCAATGTGTGGGTAGAAGGCGAGGCAGGATGCAGAGCACAAGAAGTAGGCTCCTGTGTTATACAGCAAATTTTACAAAGGATGGAAAACAATTGAAGCGCTTAATCTTATGGAGCGACTCTTGTGGCGGGCAAAACCGCAATGTAAAACTAGTTTTAATGTTAAAGGCTGCATTAAATGAACATCCATCTATAGAAGAAATCAAAATTCGATTTCTTGAATCAGGAACATAGCTTTCTACCCAATGATTCTGAAACTGAAATTCTGATTCTTAAATCCAGTTTGTTCGGGAGGCTGGAAGTCGTCAAGTCTACGTGCGAGACGATTCGTAATGACTCTCGAAAACAGCACGTAGATACGGTTCAGAAGGGAAATCGGTCTGTAGTTCTTCAAGAGAACTTTGTCGCCTTTCTTGAAGAACAAGACCACCGCACTTCTGCTCCACGCCTCCGATGTAGTGGCACCATATAGGACGGAATTAAAGAGCTTCTGAAGGACTTCATGTACCGGTTTTCCAGCAATATATATAGAATAGCTTCGAAATACCACTCGGAGCGTTGGCCGCTCCCTGGGCAGAACACCTTGCCCGGCGGGAGATCTCCCCTTTTCCTTCTACCCGTTACAGTGGTGCTGCCCGGTGTCGGCGCGTCCTTAAGACTCGCTCTTGGATCGTTACTCACACTTGCGTGTGGCTCCAACGATGACGTGTACAGCTGCCCATAGAACCTCTCAATCTCACTCAAAATCTGAGGTGTCCCGGAAACAATGCTGCCACACTCCGTCTTCAGCTTTGACAGTTGGCTCTTTCTGGCAGACAGATCACTGGCAAAGACTTTGGAGTCTTGGTTGCGCTCGATCGCTTCTTCAATACAAGCTGTATTGAAGTTGCGTAAGTCTCGCCGCATGTATTTGGAGATCTGCCTGTTCAGTTGCCTGTATGCTGTCAAATCTGTTGAAGAATGTAGCTTCATCTCCCATCTTGCAGCCATGAGATTAAAAGTTTGATCGGAGAGTTTTGTGTTCTTCTGCGGCGGGTCTTGCAAAACTTAGCTCCGACCGCATGGACAGTTTCCACGAGCTTGTCATTCATATCGTCCACTGCATTGCAATCTTCTAGGCACTGAAAGCGGTTTCGTAGCTCGGGCTGAAAGGTTTCGGGACTTTGGATTAGAGCACGAGGGAGATGGAGCGTTGACTTCATTAGACGTCACCTCTCCAACTTAACGTTTAGGTTCAGTGTGCCTCTAACCATTCGGTGATCGCTACCAGTTTTCACCCTCGCGATCACGGAGACATCACTGAACAGTTGTCGTCTTTTCTTTACACAATTTTATTTGAAACCTAATTTTCTCAAAACTATCATTGTGTAGGTTGATTTCTTATTGCGTAAGTAGGTCCAAATGTTCTCGCACGTTTAGAGTCCAATGCGCTGGACAGCCATCTTGCTTAAAAGTTATTGGTATTCTCGTTGCCAATATTGGTATTTCAGCGTCGTCGAGAAGCTCTGGGAGATCGTTTATGAGGAATTCCTGATAATTGTCTCCATCTAAATTATCTGGTAGAAACTGACCAACCAAAGTTCAGCCGATTACTCTTGCCCACAAAAAATTCGTAAAAGAATATTCTCCAAAGATGACCCTTGCTCGTGAAGATAGCTGTGGCTGAAGAAAAGTTAAAAAATCTAAAAATCTTTAAGCGGATCGTCGTGTCACTGTACTTTTTATTGTAGAAGAAACAGCTATTTCCGGCAGGTAGTGTGAATAAAATTTTATATAAACGGTTGAAGATGAAAAATCATGAGATCACTTTCGGGGATAGTTAAGGAATACTATATAATGATTCTATATCTCACTTATGTTTCTACTATTACGGCCACTTTGTATACAGGCCAAGTAAAAAAGTTCACAACGAAATCTGCGATTAATATTAAAGAATAATCGGAAAATTATCTCGTTTCAATAATATAACGCGCCGGCTCACATGTCCGCCGTTGCGATAGCTACAATTTGAGATACGTGCCTTGAAATAATTAAACATCCTCCATAAGCACAAGAACCTATAAATAGTGATTTTTATCTATTTACGAGATCAAAGGAGTATCTGAGAGGACATATATGAAGATGATGTAGATGTAGTCACAGCAGTACAGGAATTCTTAGGAGATCATCATGAACAGTTACTTTAGTAAAGGAATTCTAAATTTGACAAAGAAAATCCAAGTTCTCTCAAAAAAAATTTTAAAAGTATTTTATTTTTATATTAATTGTAATCAATTATCAAATCAAATCTTAGTCCTCAGGGATGACAACGCATCTGCGTTTTGATTCTTAATTGAGCATAAATGTAGATGTCTATGGGCGACAGCTTTCACTTACCATCAGGTGGACAGTGTGCTCGTTTGGCACCATATTCTATAAAAAAATTGAATAAAATCAAGGTGATACTATCATTGCCGTGTGGTGACGGCGTTAGAGAATCTATCGTGCATTTCATCTAGTCGGTGTCGTTAGAGGTGACTATGAGAAATTCCAGTAAATTTTTGTGCTTTCGTTGCCTGCATATCGTGACAATGAGTATATAAACCATAAATCCTCCTTACAACGGGAAGGCCTGTCCAGCAGTGTACTTTAATAGGCCAAAAAATAAAGAAGAAGATATCTGATACCTAAACAGTCGAATATCATAAATTTCTTACAACTTTGTTCTTTCAAAACAGAAATAAATTTGAGAAATATAAACTTAGTTTTTATTATGTATTATACTTTTTTTATTTCATTTATTTAAATAAAAAAGTGAATCGAAAATGTTATAGGTAGGTAAAAAAAGTACAGACTAAATATTAAAACTATCGACGATGCGGAATATATTTCTCGCAGATATTCGAACAATATTATAAATAAACAAGCTATAGTATTTCATGGTCATCAAAATAGCAAAACACGAAAGAGATAAAATACGCAAACCAGGTTGCGCTATTTATAAAGAAATCAAGGCCGATTTGCCAAATTTTGGGATTTGAAATTGCGTGAGTCGTTTTTATTAAATACATAAGCCTAGGTATTTAGCAATAAAAAAGTAGTCGGTATGACTTTTCAGATAATTATATGTGACGTGCCCTCTTGATTTAATGGCAAGTTCTTAATTTGCTATGTGGTGCAGTCTATTCTCATAAGCTAACAAAATATTATTTCGCCATAATTCCGGACAAAGAAAAAAAGAAAATTTGTCTTCCAATTTTATATTTATTTAACTAAGACTTAGTATTATCAAATCGATTGAAGTCATAACTATTTTGAAAATAATTAATAATAACTTGTTTGTTTCTCTATTTTCATTATTGGCAACATTTTGCCGCAAAGAAAATTAATTAAATATATAAATAAAATATTTCATTAGATAAATTAAATTGATTATTGAAATGCTTGATTCTCATTAAAACTTGTTCTATCGTGGTTCTTTTGTATTTATTTGTAAATAAATATTATTTCATAAATATCTGTTTTGCTCACCCTACCTACCTGGTTTGAATTGACAGCTATGACGTCACAACATGGCGCCAGGTCAGTCTTATTCTTATTTGAACTGCATAATAAAAGGCCGGGGAAAAAGTTTCTTCGTATTTTGTTTGTATAAAATTTAATCTATATAGATACAAACAATACAACAAAAAGAAAATCTATTTATTTTTATTTCTGGCTGGTTTTAATATTAATACAAATGGCAATTAAGAAAAAGAAAAAGTAAAAAACAATACTTAAACCGCCATTTATCAATTGTTTTTCTATCCGCCAAAGTGAGTGCATCTAATGAAGAAAATCGGTACAAAGTTTTATTACAAAAAATAAAAAAATAAAAAAGGGACTCAAGCCGCGGCCTCAGGTACTTAATGGAAGAAAATATATTGTTTCAATATTTTATTTTTCAATATAATCTCCCTCAAGTGAAATACATTTTCTCACATTTCGTATACAATGCCCTGTAACCAACCCAAAAAATATTTGTATCTTTATCTTCAAAATGACGATCAACCGCAGCTTTCATTTCTTTGTCATCTGCAAATCTCTGGCCCCGTAAGTACTTTTTCAAATAGGAAAGCAGGAAAAATCGCTATGTGCTTGGTCTAGGCTATATGGAGGGTGGTCAATCTCTGAGAACCCCGTGTCTTTCAGGGCTTGCCTAGCAACATGTGTGGTGTGACCGGCACGTTGTCTTGCAGAAAGAGCATTCCGCGCGTCAGTTTCCGACGTCCTGTTTGTACAATAGCCTCGCGAACCTGAGTCAATAAATTGGCATAATATTTACCATTCAACATAGTTCCCCTGGGTAGGTTAGTCGATAAGCAAGATTCCCTCACTATCCCAGAAAACAGTCGCCATTAGCTTGGACGCCGACTTATCCACCTTGAATTTCTTCGGCGGCCTTTCTCCTTTTCTTATCCATCCATCTATGGACTCTTGTTTGGACTCCGGATCATATTGGCGGATCCATGTTTCATTTACGTTGACTATCCGTTGCCAAATATCTTTCTTTCTTTCTTGTTATCGCCGACTAGCTCCAAAAAATCTTTGTTGAGCAGTGTGAGCATTTTGCATTTTCGGTACCAATCACGTGCAAATTTTTCTCATATTCAAATTTTCATGTAAAATTTCTCCAACTCATTTTTTGCTAGTTTGCAGTTCTTCAGCTATCTACCACAATTTAATTCTTTGGTAGGCCAGAACGATTTTTTCCATTTGCCGGACGTTTTCTTTGGTCAGTACCGTGACAGAGCGGCCCGGGTGAGGGTTGTCTTCACAGCTCTCTCTTCCTTGTTGAAATATGCGGGCCCATTTTTTCACCATCGTATGTGAAGGCGCAGAATCCTGAAAAACCGATGACATCTCTTCAAGAATGTCTTTCGATGCATTTCCCTTCTTTACGAGGAATTTTATCACGGCGTGGTGTTCAAAATTCCGAGAATTTTCAGATTCGGCTGACATGGTGGTGTATTTTTGTTCAATAAATAATTGAACTATGAGTGAAACTTTATTAGTGATTGCTTTTATAATACTACTGAGTGTTGTAACTAGTGACATGACTAACAAGCTAATTACTCATCGTTAAGTACCCTAGGCCGCGAACTTTTCTGCCGGTCTGGTCTGTCACTACCTACAAAATGGCAAAAATTTGTCGAACAAAATGGCACATATATATTATAATTAAATGTTATTAAACTTTGAAAAAGAAGTCTTGATATTGTATATAAAATAGGAAGAAACTTTTTCCATAAACTTATATACTCGGTGGCGATTAGGTTATCACATTAAATAACACAGCGGTATATACAAGTTCATATATGTCGATTAAAATAATAAAATATGCAATTCTACCAAAAATAAAAAATGCATCTTTCAAACAAAATAAATAGCGTAAAAATTGACACGAAATAAATCACCTTGATGATATTAGTTTACTGACCAGTAGTGACATGTAAAAGCGGCAACGGTGCGGCAGATGCGCAGTGCTCATGCGGCATCGACATAGGTAATTATTTACCTACACTTTCCCGTTCATAAGGGGAAAAAACGAAGAAAAGGGCTATTGCGACTAGAATGTTAATTTTTATATATTTTTTTTAGTTGTGTATGTTCAAAAAATGTTATATAGGATAAGTCTTTTCATTTAATGTGATAACTTTATCGCCAAGCTGTATAAAAACGTTGCTTCTGGCATTTTGGTTTTATTATTAATTATTGATTAGTTTGTAGGATGTCTGGAAGAGATTGCTACATAGCAATTAAAACACTTTTTGTTTATGTCTATTTATTTCCTGTTATGTAATGTTTTCTTTGTGTAAAATAAAGCGTATTTTAATGTATTGTATTGATAAAAATAAAAGTAAATGCAGATCAATTTATTTTATATATATTTTGATTAATAGTAATAATGTAATACATTTTGGCTAATCGTAAATAATACGTATTGAACACAGTTTTTATTATATAATAATTGTATTATTGAAAAAAGATGTTCAGTTTTTTTTCGGATCTCGTTGAAATATTTACGGTGCAACTTTGAAAATATGGATACTTCACCCATAAATAAAAAAAAAACATTGAACTTAATCGGTCGGTGAACAAATCCAAACAATTTGATAACCTAAGCTATTGTAAATCTGTTATACTGTTCGTAATTTAAATTCTTTAGGAATGGTAGTAGTCAAACTATTCTTGTTACACGTTTTATGTTAAATTAGCTCGATCTGTATCTATCTATGTACAAATGTAATAAAATTTAAAAACAATCCCGTTTTACCTTCCAGACGTCTAAATAATCTGAAATTTCGCAGACGTATTAAGAACTGCTAACAGTACTTTAAATTCATGTCTATGACCTAGTATTCTCTCTAGGTTCATCACAACTCATTATCGGTGCTATATAAGGTAAACACGTGTATTTTGTTCACAAAATTCTTTACAATATGTTGATGTGTCTCTCTGACTATAATTAAAATAAATATGTAAACAATAAGTGCAGCAATCCGTCGGTCAAGTTGTCGACAAAACTCCTCGCATCATAGTAACTTGATATAACGTAAGTAGGTTGAAATTTTTAGCGCCTTTTACAAAAAGAAAAACAAAAATGCACAATCCTCTTAGATCTAAAAGAGACATTTTATAAGATAGAATTACAAAACAAATAAATAATAAAAAATACAGAAAAACCTAAAACCGACATAAAATAAAAATTTGATAATTATTGTCGTAGTACCTATGATGATATCGTACCATAGCATTGTATCACATCACAAGTATTATACACATAATAAGTTTTAGTAAATATTGATATGTAAATACGTTCTAAAAAGACAATTTTTAGAACGTATTTTACTTAGATTTCGTATAATCTTTCCTTATATTAACATTAACATCACATTTCTATATATACCTATTACAAATAAACATTATAAGCTAATAAAAACAAATCGCATTGTTTGAAATAATTTCACATTAAATAAGTTGCCGATAGAAATTAACAAACCAACGAAGGAAGTTACTCAGCTTTACTCATTTAATATTTTGAAAAAACCTTGATTGCGTGTATTTCGCCTAAAAAATAGAGTCAAAGTATAATTGAGTCGTTAGAACTATCGTTGATAGGTACCGAGATATGCGTTGCAGTTAGGGCAATAGTGGTCGGAATTTTTGCAAGAATCCACACAGTAAGGTATGCAAATACACGGCCAACACCTGAAAATAAAGTTAAGTTAAATTATTAACTCATCTAGTAAGGGACTGCATCCATTGGAGTAACTTCAAACAAGAACATGTTTAATCACAATTTTAACCGCTGAATTACAATAAAATTAGTTGTAATTTTAATAAAAATATTACATACTTTATTTATAATATTAAAAACTACAATTTTAATCAAAAAACTAATTATTAGTCTCATTAAATCTCTTTTCAAACTTTAACGAGGTTTTAAAGGCTTTTACCAAAAAAAAAAAACGATTGGGTGTTTTTGTTTGTTTCTGGTTTTGGTTTATTTCTGTTATTAACTAAATTTCAGATTTATACAGTAATACTAGCAAAAATAACATGTAGTGTTGTACCTTTAAATGTTTTTACATACCCTGTGCAAGTAATATAAATACTTTAAGAAATATATGTAACGTATGAATAAATAAATAAACAAAATTCGAAGTAAAACATCGTGATGTGTCGTTTTCACCGGGTTAACCACAGACTGTTCTCTAAAATAAGTGAAGGATTTTTTTCCAGCAGTAGGATGTATCAGAATGTTACTTTACTTTTTAACCAAGATTCTTGATTGTTAATTTTTTTTTATACAGGTGGCTGCAGGAGCATCCGATACTGTTGCACTAGTAATACTAATATGTCCGCTATATATCAAACAAGTAAATACTATTATTTAACTAGCTGTTCCCCGCAACTTCGCCCACGTGTAATTTAATGTTTTAATTTTTTTGCGAGGAACCCTAATTATGTTTCTAAGATAAAAGTAGTCTAAGTTACTGCTTATGATATCAGCTATCTGCCAGTGAAAGTCCCCTCAAAATCGGTCCAGCCGTTTCGGAGATTAGCCGGAACAAACAGACAGACAGACAAAAACTTTAAAAAGTGTATTTTTGTTATAAGTACCGTTTATACTTTCATTTTGTCATTACAAACAGACACTTCAATTTTATTTATTTTTATAGATATGAATAAATTTAAATATAAAATAAGAAATGAGGAACAGAGCGTTGACAGTATTGTGGCCCAATACCGATGTTCTATGGAGGTCGTACTGATTAATGTAGACTTAAAGTCATTTTAATAACACTGTTATAAAATCTTTATTAATTAATACACAGTATGTACATTTCGGTATTATGACTAAACTGTTCAAGACAAGGTCACTTATCCGTGTCTGTCTTTGTATTTATGTAAAAAATAAAACCAGTTGATGGATGCAGTTACTTGATGTAAGGGTATCAAATAAAATGTACCTATACGGTGTATTTCATTTAATAATAATTGTTGATGTTTTGTGATCAAGTCCCAAAAATATAAAACCACACAGTAGAATCCATTGAAATATTGTCTATACAATCTATCTATCTATACATACAAATAAATAACTTTTGTGTTAAAATTGAAGTGTCTCATTGTAATATCAAAATAACGGCTTTTTACTAAATGCATATGAAAATATTTACGGTACTTATAACAAAAAAAAATTAGTTTTTGTCTGCCTGTCTGTTTGTTCCGGCTAATCTCCGAAACGGCTCGACCGATTTTGACGGGATTTTCACTGGCAAATAGCTGTTGTTATAAGGAGTAACTAAGTCCACTTTTATTTTAGTAAAAGAATAAGGATTCCGCGCAAAAAAATTAAAACCCATGAAATCCAGTCGTAACAAATTCCACGCGGGCCAAGTTGCGGGGAACAGCTAGTTTTTCATGTAATACACTAAAATGTCTAAAGTAATCACTTAATGGTTATTTGTCCTTAGAATACTATATCGCAATAGTCAATGAAAGAATAAACACTCGTCAAGGCCCTATGCTTGTCGTCGTTCTCCAAGAGAAGAAATATTTTCTCAGATATATTATATCTTAGTGGCCAACAAATGTTTCCGGTCATTGACCGATACCGTACCGCAATAAAGTTAATCTACACTTTCGGATTATATTAATGTTTATGTAAACTCAATACGGCACGTACAGTAAAAATTATAAATAAACTATATAAATGTTAAAGGTTTTGTGTTTAGCATTAAAAATATTATTAGAAAATATTTTCTCCTATTTAAAAATATTGAAATAGAATGTATTTAAAAGACAAGTCCATCAAGCGCTAAAGTAAGATGATATCTTAGAAACATGTTTTACATTAACGTATTGAAATACTACTTAGAATTCCTTGCCTGATCATTAAAGTAGTTAGGTACGTATTTCGTGATAACGATGTGAGTGATTACAATAATTAATGTGTTTCATTTATCTATTTTTTATTGTTTTCATCGACAAACAGTGTGTTTTTATTGTTTTCATCGATAAACAAATGTCTAAAATATTTATTATTAATTCATATACACGTATGTCTTTCTTAAAATTAAAAGTTTGAATAATTATCGTAATCTCGTAGTTTTCTGTCTTTTACGTGATAGTTTCAGTAGTCACCGCTAAAACGTGGTGATTTTTAAACTCCGGACATCACCAGACTTTATAAAGTCTAATTTCTGTTAAAGAGTTTTTTTTTTATGTTTTTTTACTTAAACATTTACTTAGATTGAAAACAACAACAGCCATTACATTGTCACGCTATACTGAATTTCGATTTAAAAAATGGGGAAATGTTGACGTCAAGGTCAAGCATCTCAGCAACACCCCCCCCCCCCCCTCTTTACCCTGGAAATGTAATACACCCGAAACGTCGGGATTTAAAAATAAATTAAATTAAACACGATAAAATCCGTATAATTAATTTTATATCTTGTTTTAAAGAAAAGCTAGGGTAGCCTAGTTTAAATAAAGTATTAGACAAAAATATTCAATATAATGTAAGATATAAATATTACTCAAACAGAAATTAGGTCGCAAGCAATACCCATGCTACTCGTTTTAAATAAATGGTACCTACCTACCTACCTACTAAATAAAATTAGTATTTATCGGTCATTGTTTTCGGACTTTCCAGACGTTCACAACCAGTCGCTCAGCAACATTAACTATTTTTAAAAGTTGAATTAATTTTAGAACAACTACTTTAAATACTATCCTTTAAAAATGAACGAAGTTATACCTATATATAAACCAATAACATTGGAATTCGCGTCACCAAATAGCGCGATATGGTCATCAATACTCGTAAATACATTATATTATCAAACGCTCGAAAGTTAAAAGGGGGGTATTTTTGTATCTATCATACTTACAGAAATAAGCATAAAACAAGAGCAATGACGTGGGTTTTTGTTGTTGCTTTAGTTTCTATTCTGGTAACTATGCTAGCATGACATGATGGGCAGGTTAGCCGGCTAGGCTGTGGTCCCACTGGAGTGATATTCATCCTGACACTAGAATAAAACAAACATTATATTAAATTTCAATTAATGGTATTTATATTAAGTATATAAAATGTATTTCAGAGAATAAAGTAAATAATAATTCACTTTTAACTAAATACTCAACAGTGAACATCACCACAGTTTAAAGTTGGTTCTTTAAATAAATAATAAAATAAAAATAGTTTATTCAGTAAATGATCATACATTAATTATAACCGGGGACGGGGTCTCCTTTTAAATATAAAAACTTATGTATGTTAGGAGATAGAAACTTGTCTTTAAACTGTGACATCACTTTAAAGAGTGAACGGCCTTGAAACTACATATTATATTATATAACACGAGTTTTTTTAGTCCGTCGATCTCGTTTATACAAAAATAACAAACAAGTTCTCTCGAAATTTAATAAGCATTGCCTATAAAATCAGTTATATTTATAATAGATTATTGAAAATATGAGTTGCATGGTATTTAAATACGAAAAATTTGCAAACGGAATAGTTTTTTTACACTTAAGTAGGTTGTGGTTTTTACGTGTAAAGTACGTAACGTACCTACGTTGAGTGAAATGTTTGCGTTAGGCGTCATTAAATTTTAGGTTAAATACAAGTACTGGTAAATTTTGGTCCGTGACATTTATTATGAGTACACTTGATCAATAAAACATAATGTCATAATTAACACAAATAACAAAATAACCAACCTGTACAAAACGGCTACGAATTAAAAATATAAAGTTATTTTTCCAGTGTCGACTAGTTAACAATCCAAACCGCAACGATAGCAACAGGCGACTGTCTGCTGTCTGTGGTGTACTAGTGCTAGTATGCTATGTTTGAAACACAGTATAAAGAGTATGAAATGTACAGGCCTCCGTAATTTTAATGTATTATCTATGGAGTAGGCTTTCTTCACTGTAAAAATGACTAATAGCCTGAGTCACAGAATAAATAATCCTAAGTGGATAAGATATAAACAATTATATCTATACTATATTATAATATATTATATTGATATACAAAATAATGCTAACTACGGTATGGTTTCTGACTGTTTTGTCACTTTTTGTGTATATTTAGAAATTTTTCCTGTCACCATAACAAATAAAATTTAATTAAAGGTCTATTAAAGAAAAACCAGTTTTACTAATATATTGCGTTTAATTTTACTTATTTATACCTATAATTCCTGACGTTTCGGGTGCTTAAAGGTTTATTAGGCTTAGTAAAAAGTAAATTTGTTTAAATTGAAATGATGTCTAAGTCACGGTTATTTTTACATATTTTCCAATTAATATAAAAATAGATATTATTCTGAATCCAAATATATTAGAAAAAGATTGCAACACTCTTAACTTAACTTAATAATGTGTAGGTGACATAGCCTACCTACGTTAATTTAAACAAAATTCAACAAATTAAAACAAATTAAATAAAAGAAAACAAATTAATTTAAATAAAATGTCATGAAAAACAATGACACAAAATATTGTTAAATTAAATCCTCCTTTTTATCATCAACAACATATTTATGACCTTACAGCGATGACTTTTTACAGTAAAATAAATAGAAACCTCTTCTATGTGCCTATGTTTTCCTTTTTGATGATACATTATCTTTATAAGCAGTAGACCCTTACAAAATGATCAAAATTTCCTATTTAAACCGCTGCCAACAGAGCTAATACTGAAAAAAGAAAAACATAGGGACACGGTGTATTTGTAATGTTAAATAGTCCAATATTGGAGGAGAAAATGGTAGAGATCCAAACCTCAAATTATGCCTTTTCTGCCGACTTCAAAAAGGAGACGGTACTCAATTCGACTGTATGTTTATTTTGTGTTTTACCTCATAACTTTTTACTGGGTGAACCTATTTCGATGATTCTTTTTTTATTTGAAAGCTGGTACTTCACGTGTGGTTCCATATCAAGGTCTGACCAATTGTTTTTGAGTTATTCTTAATAATTTATATTGAAGTTGGTTGTAGAAAATGTTTTAATTTTTAATTAATATTTAGTTTTTTTACGACGCCACCGCACGGTATACTTTTGATTTTATTACCTATTTAATACGTAGGTCACTCAATAAGTTTTGTGATGCTCGAAATTTAAAAATGGAACGCACCCGTGTTATATGTTTCTAAAAAGCAAATTTATTTAAGAATAGAACTCCATAAGCCAATTGCTCACAATTAAAAAAAAAGTTTTATTAATTTTCCTGCAACGCT